TGGCTTAAAGGCCTTCGGCCTAGCCACATAGGATCAAGTAATCTAATTTGTTTGTAATAATTACCTACTAAATAAATAAATAAATACAACTAGGAATTACAACATAATTAATCATCAATCTCAAAATAGAGACATAAGAAACCATTGTTCGTCTCGTTGTTCAGACTGGTGATTTGTGCACCGGAAGCAACTCATTGGTAGCATTTGCTCTGCTTGTGACTCCCGAACAATAGTCTTGTCCAGTATGTAATATTACGTGGAGGTGTAGTGCCTCAAACCAGTCCCGATTGTTAGCACTTCCGCTCGTAGCCCGTTATCAGCCGCGGCTTCTCTATCGCCACGAGCGAGTCACCCTCCATAATGACCCGTCTGCGCTCAGTGCAATTGCCGCCCCGGGAGAGCGTCTGTTTGATTCCCGGGTCACCCACTGGCCCTTTTCCTTGCCTTCTTCTTTTTAGACAATAGCTAACACAAATGGATGTATTGAGCACGAGAGTATTGCATTGTGTAATTGATGGTGATTCGAAAATTTGTAGCCTACGTGATAAGATAATGGGGATGGGTTCAAAACCACAGTTTTTTACAGCTCAAAATAGCCAATTTTACATGCCCATTTCGACTTACTTTCTTAGCGCATTTGAAAGTCGACGGCGGGCACCCGGTTTTCGGCCTTCATCTTTCATATAAAAAAATCCTTAAGCAAATCCAACGCAAAAAGTCCAATGCATTTAAAACCAAACTACATATAACGCTTATCTTTACTCGCTTCCCTTACAAACCACTAGTGAAATATTTCTCCTTGATTAAACACGCGCGTTTCGCACGTTTTCCATTTATCCGAAAGTTTAAGCTGTTTCTCAAAAAAATAGTGGCCCGCGATGTGCTTCGCTAGCATATCGGGGCCGCGCAGTCACGATAAGTCAGTCCTCGCGATATACAGTTACGTCAACGTTCAAGTTCTATAAACCAGCGCTCAAAAATAAGAATTCGGGGCAGACTGCCCGGACATAGGTGACCCTCTACAGATGCCTGTGTGCATTTTGCTACTCTAAAACTCATCGCGCCCGAATTACTCGCAGATCGTTTATTTCCGCGTACCTTATAAACAGGCAGTGTGAAGGCTGTCTGTTGATTCTTTACCTTATCTTTCGTCAGATTTGGTGAAGATTGTTGCCTGTGGAGCTTTCTGCATTTTCTTTTTCTTTCCGAAATGGCTTCTGAATACTTGAGAAAAACTAAAATTATCTAAATTAGCTTATTACTTCAGTCGAATTCATAAACTTTCGATTATTTAATTCGAAATAGGGATAGATTATTTTTCTTGATTATTTTGAATGCTCCGCAATACTCAGTTTGTAAACAAACTCTGCCTCGCAACACTTGACACTAATAAAGGAATATAATTTGGAGCGCCATTATTCATTGTCAGCTTCGCTTTATTAAGTAATGCGAGCAGCACCTGTCGTAGGCTGACGTGACGAACAACAAGCCACACCGGTGGCCCGCAGGTAAGCGCTGGAAATGGGTAGTAAAAGCGGACCGCCCACTTACGCAACACTGTTTTAATCCCTGACATTTGCGCGACGAAATAGCGAGCTCTTAAATTGATGCTTCGGAGACGAGTCTTCTAATTGTGGCAAAGCTGGCTGCCAGTCCGGATGGCCGACATCGCTAAGGCTATAGTGGCGTAGCGATCTCGGACCGAAGGATTCGCGGTTTGAGTCCCGCCTCGGGCATGGTTGTATTGTGGTCGTCTTTTCACCCCCATCATCATCATATCGTGTCATCCTCATAGTAACTATACCGTTACACGTAATAGTGGTCGCTAATGACCTAGATGTTCATTACCTTAAATTTTAACCATGCTACCTTAAATTTTAAAAAAATCTGGCTGTTTTCCACATCTGCTATTCTACTCGCGTGTTTTAGAAAAGTGTGGATATAGCTGGGACTCTGGGAATCACTGGGACTGCCGGCGTCTGAGACTTCCAATAAGAAGAGTTTTCATGAGCAACACAAAAAAAGCAACAATTGCCTTCAGTACTCAAGAAAGTGACACCTCTCGAAAACCGTCATTAGGACTTTGGGAAGAAAAGTGTTTAGAATATTGTATATTTTTACTGTATTATAGTGAAAAAATTGTATAGTTAGTTCGAGACTACTGGTATAAACAGTCAAACATTTCGTCATTATTTCTTGTTTAAATATATTAACTATGCATGTGAAGAGCGCTTTGATTACAAAATACTTTTAAACCTAATGTTCTAATGACGCCGCCTTCCGAAATACTACAATACTACATTTTTAAATATTCAGTAGTTTATGCAAACGAGCGCCTAAAGTTCAAATTGTGCCATGCAATTATATGTCTATTATACGAAACTATTATTTATATAGACTTGAAAAATAATGCATCAGTAATTACCAACGTTTACATTTACAAACTCCGTCATTCTCGTTGATTCTTGCGCATTACGAAGTCATTTGCGAGCACGAAAGCAAACACCACGTGAAGCAGCATTCTCATGTCGTCGAAATATGCACGAATTGTGTAATGAATGTTTGCGAACAAAGTAACTCTTGCGAACTCTTAATGTACTTGCAAACATAATCCCAAAGAATCGTGACAGGAGCACTGACGTTCTGGAAGGCCAGTGGGAAAGACGAGACTCGCCACGATTCTTAGCGCATTTCTTTGCTATAAGAAAGAGCGAGGAATTAAGTAAGAAAGCAAGAGAAACAATCAGAGGTCATTACTGCATATAAAATCTTGAAAACATTTAGGAACCGCTCGAGATATAATTTCTTTCAGTAATGCTCATCTGCAAGAATAAGTTGTATTCCTCTTTTTTTGAAGTAGCTTTCTTTACATTCGTGTCATTTTCGTCACTCTCATATCGCCGAGTTCAATGAGGGACCTTTGAGAATTCTAGTTATAGAATTCAGGAAACTGGTCAAAACTAGTGCAATGTAAATATTACTCTCAAAAGAATTAAGTATGGAAAAATAGATGCTGCTGAACTTTCGACTGTTTAATAAGGCGCATTGCACGAGACATGTGACGGTTTATTGAGGAATGTCATGACGAATGTTATGTTAAAAGTAACATAGAAAGCAATTCAACATCCTGACGTTTAAACAATTTGATGCATGGAAGATTTTTTCAGACAATTAAATTGTATATTTTAAAGTTAGGGGTGAGCCATGTGAAATAATGATTGTTTATATTTTCCGTAGTGAATTATCGTATTGTATTAGTGAAACAAAAATTCTATTGATTGCACATTAATCTCACAAGAAATATGACACTGTGATCCCAAAAATGTCGATCATTTAAGTGCAGACACAGACTTCGTGTTTAGCAAAAGAAATATTTCTTACTGCTTAAAAGTCTAACGTTATAAACATTTGCATTGGCATACAGTAAAGTGGGTTGGTTTGAAAATATTCACTAGATCATATTAGGTATTATACGTTGAAATAATTTATATTTATAATTTTACTCAGAAATATTGTTATGTTTAACCTCCATATTCCTATTTCAGTTCTCCTGTGGTACATAACCACACTCTTCAACTTTTCCCTCGAATTCTACCATTTAGTATTTCTCCTTGTAGTGAACTTTGACTTCCTCGGGAGGCAGAGGCAGTGAAAGGGCTTGAAAGCTGCGGCGGCGGCGGCGCTGGGGCGCGGGGGCTCGCGAATCGAGGCTACGGCGCGAATCGAGCGCTCGCTTTCTTCGGGGACAGTCGCGCCCGTTTTCGTAGCGATGTAGGTCGGAATTGGCCTAACGGTCGAGCTGGCCGCTGGGGGGCGCACCCTATGCGGGGAAATAGAAACGGATCGCAGTTATTTATTAAGAAACAAGTCACAGCAAATCTGACATTTTAATTTATATGCGGTTTGTCTACGATGTAATATCAACGGACTCTTGTATTCAAATATTATCCTTTTGTTGTACATTATGTTCTTGACGTTTCTCTAATCGTTCTAAATTTTACTCTCAATAGAATTTTCGCCATTCTTCTTGCTGTAAAAAATTATAAATAGAAAATTATCAACATTTTTTATAGAATTCAGAATAATTGAGGATGTAATATCTCATTTACACTCTCACACACACACACACACATACATACTACATTGTGTTCAGTACCCGACGGGGATTGGATGAGATGAATAAACTACTATATACATAAATCATAGTTTCACCAATAGAAATACCGCGTACAGTTTTCAGCGTCATTTGTAACCGAAAATTTCTTAACCTGAAGTCTCTGCGTATCAGCTGACCGTTAGACTAATATTTGTAAATAAAAATATTAAATCAGTAATTTCACAATTAAACTTTTTAAAATTTATGAACTTCGGTTGCAGATACATTACATGCATTACTTCAATTTTTTTCCGCCTGACCTTCTTCAGGCCTGAAGTACCGCCCGTTGAGGGCTTGTCATTCGCTACAGATCACAAGGGTATATCTCAAGAGCGACGCGGAACTCGTTCTGCCATTCACTAATACGCAAATCTTAAATGAGCTTAGAAAACCTACAGAGTCATTAGCAACAACGTACAACCAGGCAAATAGATAAATATGGGAAGGGGATGGGGCCACTGTTCCGGAACTGCAGACTACTGAATAGGGATGCGACAGCATTGTCGATGTTTTCAAAACAACGATGTTTTAAACATCGATATATTAAAATCGCCTATGCTTTGTGCTCGATGTTTTGTGATAAATATTTCCATCATCAACATTTGGTTGAACCCTTCAAAGAATTGGTAGTCCCTGTAGCTCGGTGGCTAGAGCATCTAGGCCTATACCAGGAAACCTAGGTTTAATTCCCGGTCCAATTCTTCGAGCAAAATTACTTTAATTGTAATGTTCGCCATTGGGCTACCGCAAACGAATCTCCGCTGTAGAGGACGCGTGTGCGTGCGCGCGTGTGTGACGAGCGCCGTGGTGTTTGCAGGGAGCTGAACGAGCTGCGCAAGCCGTCGTCGGACAACCCGGAGATCCTGCGCTTCTTCCGCTACATGAAGGCGGCCAAGGACGGGCAGGACGGGCTGGACTGCTTCGCGCTGCACCCGGGCTGCGTGGTGGGCGCGGGCGCGGCGGCGGCGACGGCGACGGCCGCGGGCAAGGCGGAGCCCTCCGAATTGGGCGCGCCGCCCATGCTCAAGACCTACCAGGACATCAACAAGCTGGTGCAGGCTCGGCGCCTCGCGCGCACGCTGCGACTGGAGGTAGGCGCCTCACCGCGAAACCAAAAGTGTATTGGGGTTAATGTTGACGTTGATGTCGTTGATGTTGATGTCGTTGATGTTGATGTAGTTGATGTTGATGTCGTTGATGTTGATGTCGTTGATGTCGTTGAATGTCGATGCGTTGATGTCGATGTCGTTTGATGTCCGATGTCGATGGCGATTGTCGTTGATTGTCGATGTCGTTGATTGGTGCGATGTCGTGTCTTTGATGTCGGATTGTCTTTTGGATTGTTGTTTTTGATGTCGATGTCGTTTTGATTTGTCGATGTCGTTGATGTCGATGTCGTTGATGTTGATGTCGTTGACATTGATGTTGATGTCGATGTTGATGATGTTGACGTAGATTTTGTCAATAATGATGTTGCTTATGTTTATGATGATAATGATATTGGTATTGGTGATGTTGTATGTGTTGATAATATTGATATTGATGCTGTTGATATTACTTTTAATGTGCATAATCCCGAAACCTTGGAACAAATCCCTATTTGGGAATTATAATTTACTAGTGACCTGCAGCAGCAAAAAATGCTGCTGAAAAAAATCACACAAATGGTTCCCCAAAAAGTAGCACACACCGCTCAAGAATAACAAATAAGATACATTTGTATAACACTGCAGTAAATTAAATATTTTAACAAAAACAGTATCCATGAATACTGGAATGACGTGTATAGTATATACGGTGCACAACATTCTTAACATAGCAAACATTGTTGCATACCATATTACATGAATAACAAATATTTAATTGGCCCCTTCCAAGGATCCAGGTTGCTGCAATTGCTGTTTTGCCATAAGCAGATGCACACTGCGTATACTAATTAAGGCGCAACACAGTATGAGAGTAGTAAGAAAAACACAATGAAATATTTTCATTTTTCAGTAAAAAACTATTTTTTCATTGTTATCGTATTTTTTCCGAGTTTTTGGTTATCAAACGAAACCGTAGAACATTTTAGAAGGCCGGAGACTGCATAGTTTTACTTCAATTTCTGTATTAGTAATATACAGTAGATGTTGACATATTTGAGAATTTTTGATTTGACAGCCTCCCAACTTTTATAAGCACTAGTTTTTTTTTTTCAAAATCCCTCTCCCTCATCTTTTACCCCTTTTTTGAATTATGAGGGAAGAGTATAGTACACAAGGGAAGAGGTCGAGGGGCTTAAGTCCTCCACCTTCAGAAGATTATTACCCATATTTACTAATATAGTTTTATTAGCTTTATTAACTATAAATCAATAAATAAAAATAAATTTTAAACTAAACAAACGATAAAAAATTATTATATAAAAAAGCCGGGTGGACAGCTCCACACCACAAACCATTGTTAATAAAAGATGTCAACGAACATTGCTGACTACTTTTGATAGTAAGAAAGTTGAGTTCAAGTTTACTACAAATAACGTGCTTAGACTAGCAATCTACTAAGTTCATTTGTAAGTATTGGTGTTGAAGAAACCGAACCTCCCCCTCCTCTCGTAACTAGCGCATTGTGAGCTAAACAAAATATGTGCAAATTATAATTTTAATTCCCAATTTGCCAACAGGAACCGTTACAACAGCCTCGTACTTTACCTTTATAAGAAAACATTAAGTCGATAGGACACTATACCTGTAACCACATCCCTACACACACACACACACACACCACACGCACACATAAATAGCGAAATACCTTATGTATGTATATATATATATATATATATATATATATATATATATATATTATATATATTATATATTATTATTATATATATTATATATTATTATATATTATATATATTATTATATATATGTATATTGGCGCGCCTCTGAATTTATTGATGACTGAATTGTGTCCATCCGCAGGCGGAGGCGCGGGCGGAGAAGGCGCAGGAGACGGCGGGCAGGTCCCAGTCTCCCGCCCCCACCGCCGCCTCCACTCCAGCGCTAGCGTCTCCGACGGCGCCCGACAGCAGGGAGGAGGCAGCAACGACTGCGACCAGCAGGTAAACCACACAGTCTTTGAAACAAGTTGATCTCTCACCTCTTTGGAATACCTTCCGTCGAAATCTTGACATATTCTACATTTTGTGTATATTAGACGAGGAAAAAATGTTTCGCAAATTATATTTTACATATGTAAGAATCGAGCCCATATAATGAAAACCGTTATTTTACACATTCAAAATAAAGAACTATTTTTCCTTTTAGATAAATTATTAATTATCAATGTTACCGGTTACAATAAAGATCTTAGAAGTTGAAATAGAAATAAAAATTGTGTATATGGCATTGAGTATTGCAAAGGGGGCGGGTCAGCATAATTTCCACAAAAATAAATATTAGGATCCATTCGATTAACAAACGAATTCGTAAAACTACAACGTACTTACAAAGAAGATTCTAAACAAACTGAATAATGTGGGGATTTACACATGAGCAAAAACTATGGGATAATTCTTAAATCTAAATGTTATTTAAATTTTGTGAGAAATTTAAAGAAATGTTTTATAAATTTAAAAGCGTCTACTTGGTCATGTGATGCTCCCTAACGTAATCAATGTATCAAATTGGTTTCCTCCGGTGTGAATTTGTAATTCTATTTTAGACAAACTGGTGTGAGATCCAAATTGCCAGAATTATTTTAAACAAACTACTTAGAAAATCACATATTCTATTTAAAATGTGATTCCTTATGCCTCCTTGTACAGATTTTTGGCCCTTGGCATATTTGTCAGTTAAACGTAACTAAATATATAAAATGTTAATAGAAAAATTTCATGTGTATTTTCCATATAATTTTAGCTTTGAAATTCATTAATATTATTATTGGCATAAAGAGTCAAGTAGAAAGATGAAGGCCGTCCGTTGAAAAACGAATACATTGTAGCAAAAACTGACAGTGTAGGAGTAATTCTATTAAATCTAGGTATTTCTAATTCATATGATTTTTTTCTTATGTGATGGCATTACCAAAAGTATTTTAAAGTGTTGTAGAGTCGATAATACATTATGTCGATTACAAACATTGACTGTCTCCTCGGTTCACTCGCTTCAACCCCTTGCTTATTTATTTATTTTGCGTCTACCGAATGGCATTAAATACGATACAATTTAGTTCATGACACTTATCCACAAGACCGATAATAGGATCAAAATATATTAGAGAATTTCTTCTCTGGTGACTGACATGTCCTTCTTTTAAGATCAAGAAATGCTTAGTCATTAGCGATTTGAGCACAACCGAGACTGAAGATCACGTTGAAGCTAGGCCACGCATATTTACGAAGAATACAGAAAGCATTCCACAGCCCTCGTAAAGCCACGGCATTTCGCTCTCGCCTGCCAATGAGTCTCAAATTTTCCGTGAAACGTTCTCCGGCTTCGGAATCGTATCCATTTCGCTTCCTCGCCCCTCAGCTGCCGGCTAGAGTGCTTACAGTGGGCCGCGCGCCGTCAGCATCGGCCGGCAGCTGTCGTTTCCGCTGGCCGCCGCCGGTCGGGTCGAGTTTCTCCGCCGCCAAACGAGGCCCCGCGACGAGCGGGGCCCCAACACCTCGCACACACACTCATCCCCGAGTAAGTCTGAAATCGTGCGTGGTGTGACGTCATCCGGTGGCAGCCAGGCTCCCCGAACGAGCGAGCGGACGGGCGTCCGAATTCAGGCCACCACGGAGGGAGTTGTTTGATTGATTGGTAGTGATCGCGTACGCGAGCGCAGTGCGCCGAAGCAACGCGTTGGCAGCTGGAACTAGTCTCCTGCTCTAATACGTTCACAGCTCACGGAGTACGAACTGAACAAATTCGATCTCGGGTGCTGCGTATGTCCCAAGACGTGCGTATACTGTCCTCCATTTGTCATATTTTTTTGTTCACATATTAAAAAGCTGGGGCCTCAATCTTTTGATTGCCTGGGGAGTCTAGGTGTAGAAGTCCGGTCCTGCTTTATCTCTTCCCAACACCTCGCACACACTCTCATCCCCGAGTAAGTCTGAAATCGTGCGTGGTGTGATGTCATCCGGTGGCAACCAGGCTTCCGAACGAGCGAGCGGGCGGGCGTCCGAATGCAGGCCACCACAGAGGGAGTTGTTTGATTGATTGTTAGTGATTGCGGGAACGTCAACTGCTAAGGTAATTAGTGCCGTAATTATAGTGCGTGCGTTTTGCTCGGGAGGTGACGGTGATCTCTCCCTGCTTAATGGTGAGATCTGGCACGGAACCTACTCGTCGGTTAGTGGGGTTTTCCCTTAACCAAGTATCTCTCACCAACGGGGCACCGCCCCGGACGGGCTCCCGACCGGTCTCCCGGCGTGTGTGATGTGTGAAGTTTCTGGCATGTGTGTGTGTGCGCGTGCGTGCATAAGAGGGTAAGTAAGTAAGAAGTGCGGGTAGGACAAGGAAGGGAAAGGAAAGATCGCGCGCGGTCCGTGGTCCGTTTGTTAAGGTACTGCTCCGGTATTCGCCTAACAGAGTAATTCTGACATCTATATTTACCACTATCAGTTTTGTAATGCCGTTGAACGTAATATTACTTTTCTGCACCCGTTACTGTCAAAAGATTGCATTCCATTTTGCGAGTAGACGTTTTTCTTAGCTTAATTACAAAATCCAAAGAAATATAAATATGCCATTTATCGTGGAAGTTGTTTTTGTAAACATTAAAGATAAAAATTTGAGATTTCATCTTAACATATTTCAATGGGCTACTGAATGACGCAACAATGTTGTTGTTTTTCGACATAGTGCATACGTAGAACTTTTTCAACTATTCCTTTAGTTTGATGTGATAGCAAGGGTTCACTTGGTTTGCATTGATTTTCGAATCTGTCTTGCATATTCAATATTAAACCCAGAGATGATCTCTCTATGCAATGTACCCCTCAACTGAATGGTATTTCCTTTCAAGAGGCAGTCATAAAATCTGTAAAAATATAAAGATTAATCAATGGCTCTTTGCAGATAGTACTACACTATTACTGTGCCTATCATAA